CGCCGGGGAGGTGCAGGGGGAGGGACCCGCGGGCCCGGGCGAGGGAGGGAGCGGGACCCGGCAGGAGAGGTGTGTCGGCTGAGGGCGCAGAGCGGGCGGAGAGCTTGACACGGCCGGGAGGGTCTCGGCGGCGACCCCTCGCCTGCAGCTCGGCGCCTGGGCCTGCCCCTCCGCCTCTCATTCTCGGTGTGCACCGCCCGGGGACCCCTGCTGGGGGCCACGGAAGCATCCACTGCAGTTTCCAGTTGCACAGAATTGCGTCATGTGCACACACAGGGTGAGCCGCCGGCAGGGGGCGGAATCGGGGCAGGGGTAGCTCGCGCCCCCCACCCTGCGTGCCCCGCCCCGCGAGGCTTTGGGCATTTAGGAAGGCGAGGCACCAAAGAGAAAGGGAAGGGAGAAGGAGACAACTGGGTTCAGAGGATCGCCGGGGAGAGCGGGAAGAAGAGGCGAGCAAGAGGACGGAGGAGCAGCCAGTCTGGGGCCCTAGCGCTCCAGAACCTTACCAGAAGGGGGCTCCGAGTCCGATCCCACCCCAGATCCTGACCGGCTCCCAATTTACCCTCGGCACTGTCCTTGGTGGGGCAGGGGCGGGAAGCCTAGTTTCCAGCAGCAACCCCGCCAGCCCCAACCCCGCGGCCAGGCAGGACGAGAGGGGGCGACTACAGAGGGGGCGCAGGGGATGTCCAGATCTGCTTGGGGGACCGAGGGGACTTGGTGGGGTCCCAGGAAAGGCATCGAAGGAGGGAGTGGGGAGGGCTGAGAAGAGGTTCAGGCTGAGCCAGGGGCACATCGAGGCTGCACAAAGGGGAGGCGAATGCGATGGCCGAGGAGCCAAGCACTCGTCATGACTTTGTGTCCCTGGTCCCCGACAGCCAGCCGAGCCGAGGCCCTCCTGACGCAGCCTGAGAAGCCGCTGAGTGTGAAGTTTAGCACCTCCGGCGGCGAGACGGCGCGTTCGGCGTGCCGCTCCAGCGTCCGGCTGGGGGAGCTGCTGCGCTCCACGCGGCCTCCCGAGGGCGCCGCCCGCGGGGCCGCGAGCTCGCTGGGGTCGCGGCGAGGGGTGAGGGGACCTGGGGAGGGTGCAGGAGGGGCAGGGCGCGCTTGCCTTGGGGTGTGTCTGGGCCCCCTGCTCCTGGCCCCTGAAGGACTGGGAGCAGGAAGCTTGCGCAATCCCTTGGCTGAGCGTCCATGGAGAAAGAAAAAGAGCAAAAGCCGAGCGAGAGTGGAACGCGCGAGGGGGGCGGGCAAAGAGCCATCCGGGTCTCCGCTCCCGCCCTGACACACGTCCCAGAATGCTGGGTGGGGACTGCGCGGGGGCTTGAACGAGCCGGGGAGGGCCGAGGTGCTGAAGCGAACCCCCAAAGCATACTCGGCGCTCGCGTTCTCCCAGGAATCCAGGAGAAGCCTGGAGACAGTCTGGTGTTTAAGAACGCACACGTTGACTCCATTCCACCACTACCTCGCAGCTCCTGCGGCGGTGGCCGTTTCTGTTTCGGTGTCGGCCGCTGCCCAAGACGACTAGAGTGGCTCCTCCCTTCGAGCGGTTCTGGGAGTGGGGGCTCGTCTTCTGGCGGCATGAGAAAGGGGCTAGGTCTGCAGTGACTGCTCTCTGACAAGCTGGAGGCACAAACCCAAGATTCCTGGAGGAGTCGGGGTGGCGGGGGGGG